TGTGTGTGTGTGTGTGTGTGTGTGTGTGTGTGTGTGTGTGTGTGTGTGTGTGTGGGAGGGGGTCAAAAATGCAAACAAACAAAATGCAACTAAAGTTGGACACATTACAAAAAATATTGACTAAAATATTCTTCAACAACTTGGATGAAACTGTGGAGATGAAGAATGGAAGCTCCTCCGGTGTGCCTCGGTTCATCCTCTACAGCACTTTGTACCGGCCTTTGCTCGTCGGCTGGTAGGAGTTTTGCTGGGGGGGGAAAAAGAAAGAAACGGGAAATAAAATTAAACATTTTCGGCATAAAGTCACTGCATAATAAGAGTGGATGACATGTTTTAACATGTGTGAGCAAAAAGATACTTACTAATCGGATGAGCTCTTCCTTGATTAGCCGTGTAATTTCTGTTTTGGCTTTCTGCACAGCCAGTTCATTTGCACCTACAACACAAACAACATGTTAATATTCAGTATAGGCTGCTCTGTTAAGGAAACTGGACACCCCATTAGGAAATTCATTGCCTTCGAGGTAATTAAAAAAAAAATATACCAAAAGTGAGGGAGGAGTTGTATTTTGCAAGAGGCACTTTTAACAGCATGATTTAAGCCAACAAAAGCTTTTTTTCCTTCTTTAAAACTTGAAAAGTCAAGATTATCTGCTCTGTGTGATAACTAGTTTATAAACTTCCTGCGTTGTGCTGTTCTCAAGTTATCATGTTCGTTGTTCGTGTTCACTGAACCTTAGAGTTCAGCAATTGTACAGCTGCCCTAAAAATATCTTGTTATATCAGGTGTCAGGACTTTAAAAAAAAAAAGGACAGACGTTCTTTGACACATACTCTCAATAGCCAGGTAGATCTTGCGCTCTCCTTCCTTGGGCTCTTTGCCTGGAGGGAAGTACGTTCCTCTGATGGTGATGGCAGCTTCAGAGTATTCACCAATTCTCTGCAAAGCTTCTTTAGATGTCACCTTCCACCTGGCAGTCTGAGGGAAGGAAGAAAAGGAAGATTTTATAAGCCCTTTTTTGTCTGCTTTATGTTCAGAGGAAGAAACAAAATACTTTGGGATTCTTGATTGTTAATCAGTCGTGACAAAAAACACAAAACTCAGTTTAAGCATCTGTCATCTAAAAGATAAGCCCCTCTCCCGGACAAAAAGCATTTTGTATTGAGCATAAACATTTTGCCAAAAATTAGAACAGCTTAGCTTTTTTAATCAGAGATTAAAAGAAAGTTATTTTCTTAGTAGCTTAAAGAAGTTGAGGATTTTAATGTCAAGTATTTTTAATAGATGGATTTGCTTAATTTTCCACTCAAATTTGCATATGTTAGACTTTACATCATGATGCACCAACTACATGCAAGAGGTGGATTTTAAAGGAGTATAACAGGAATGACTACTAGGCCCTCAGGTCTCCAGCTGTCTGCATCCGTGTTTGCAATGGAGAATAATCAAGACTTACATGTAAGCAAATCAGGAACACACATTCACAGATGTTTTAAAAAAAAAAAAGTACAAATGGCTTTCCAACTTTAAATCTGAAATTGCATTGCTAAAAAAAGCGACAGTGTAAGTCTTACATAAACACTTAGAGAAACAACGTCTATGCTAGAAAAACTTGAACGCGTTTCACTTGAAACCACAACCAGGAGATGGGTTTGGTGTGGTGTGAAAATCACTAAAAAGAAAGCAAAGAAAACACTCAAAGACGTGTAAAGTGGAACTTCTGGTATGTATGGGTAGAATGCCTGCAGACTAAAAAGTGAGCAGACTCTAAAATGGGAATCATCTCTCAGTTTTATAGGGGTTTTAGCAACGTTCACTCAACACAACGTATAAGCAAGATGAGAGAAGAAGGAGGTCTTACAATAATGCAAAAAGAATGACAGGATATCTGTGCATTTGGCAGGAAAAATAACTTTTGAAGGAATTTTGCTGGATTTTTGTTATTGCTCCCCACATGAAAGTACACTTTAATAATAGTAAATCTGGGTGTTGGAGGAATTGTGGCTCCCAAACTGCAGAGCATTATGTCTGCTGGGAATGTCAACACATGCAAAACTACTGGATGGAAACAGACAGGGTGTGACAGGGTGGATCGTCAACACTCACATATGACCTTATGTCTGGATAACTTTCCACCAAAGGAATCAATAAATAATCATATTGATGATGTTGTTTTATCGCCTTATGATGTATTATGATCCTTAGATTTCCCCGTTACGCATTCGTTATTTATATACAAATGTATGGCTAACCAGGTAGCTGCAGGTTAGTCTTACATGTCTGTAAATTTGTTGAAAAGTTTTAAATAATAATAGTTTTGGGTTTGTTTGTTTTTTTTTAAAGTGGGCTTGAAAAACAAAGGGAGCAATAGTAGAGCGCCGTTTAACAGGAAGTAGTCAGGAAAAAAAATGCAAAAGCAAAAGTTTGTTCTATGTTTTGATTTGTCTTCTGTTTGGTCTTTTACTCATTTTTAAGTCCTTACACGGCCTTGCCCCACACGACATCTGAGCTGTTTTATTTCCCAGTTGCTCAAATCAGCAGACCAGCTGCTCCTGGATGTGCCGAGTACACAGTGGAGGCTCAGGAGAACAGGGATTTGCCATGGCGGCTCCCAAACTGAGGAATTCTTTGCTGTTAAAAAGACAGGCCTCTTCACTACCAGTTTGCGCTTATGACCCACCTCTTCATCTTGGCTTTTCCTAAGTGTGAGATGTTGATTTTACGTTTTGATTTTAAAGTTTTGCTCGTGTTTAATTCTGTCTTGATGCTTTTATTTTACATTGTAATTTTAATTCTATTTATTTTATTCTAACATATCTTTATTTTTGTATCCACAGGTTTTATCAGTGGTTGCTGTTTTTTAAAGTACTTTAAAGGAAGTTGGCTTGGCTTATCAGCAGCACGGGCTAAGCTAACAATCCAACAACAGCACAAACAGAAATAAGCTAGCATGCAGACAGCTGATCCCATATTTTTGACACAGACCCCTGGTGACAATACACAGCAACAACATCCAGATTCACGATTCCTTCCCTATGCTGTTTTGGAGAAATGACTTAGTTGAGTTAAACTACTGAAACCCAGCGGCTGTGAAAAGAAAACCTGAGTCCAAAAAACAAAGAACAAAAATAAAACTGATCCTTGCTGAATATTTCAGTACAGCCCTGCGCTGTGTGCCGCTGACCTGAGGGAAGTCGTTGATCTCCAGCTCCTCTTCATATCTCCTGACTGTCTCAGCCTGCTCAGCCGCCTGCCGCTCCTCCTCCAGCTTCTCCACCGGGGTGTAGTTGAGCTTTGCATTGATCTTTTCTGCCAGCTGCTCCGCGATGGTTTTGGCTGACACTGAGGGGGTCATGATGGTGCCGCCCCGCAGGATGGCGTTGGTTGCCTGCTGCATCACATCCTGTAGACACGGAGTAATTGTAATTGTCACAATGCAAACAAAGTTTTAATTACCAGCTGAGGTCCTAGGATTTTTGTGGGTTGTAAACTCAAAACTAAGTATTGGACACAATAAAAATTAAACCTAAGTGGTTAGTCTGAAAAATCACAAGTCCAGCAATCTCAGCTGTGTCATGAATACGTGCACAACCGTCCACTTCACGGTGGCACTGGAGTCTTGACGTACCTGAGCCTCAGCGCCCAGGTTCTTCTGAGCGTTGATCTTGAGCGCCAGCCTTTTGGCCATTTCCAATTTCTGGATGTTACCAGCAGACGTAGGCCCGAGTCCTGGCAAACCTCCGGGGGCAGCCGCTGTGGCGGCAACAGCTCCAGCTGGACCAGCAGCCGCGCCGGGAGCAGACAGATCCTTCACCCTCTTCTTGGAATTAAACATACTTTCGATTTGCTCCTCAATCTAAGAAGGAATAACAGTTAAACATGTTTAATAATTATAAAACTGCAATTAGAGGACAAAAAAAACTTGAAGCCAAGCAGCTTAGCAGAGGTAAGTAAATAATTTACCGGTAAATAAAAAATTTTAATCTCCATTATTTAAAAGTTACTCACATCCAGGGCTCCGTCCTCATCGTCAGAGTCCTGCAAACCGAGAGCAGCTTTCTGCAGCTTCTTCCTCTCATTGGCCAGAGCATGCTCAGTCTCATCAAACTTGAAGCCTTTTCCTGAGAAACCACTGCTGCTCTTAATGGTCTTACCCTCCTGCACAGAGCAAAGGGAGGAAAGAAAGAAGCTTTTAAGTTTGTCACATTGTTCTTCTAGATCCTTTTCAATCTGCTTACTAACTGAGACACCAAAGATCAAATTTTATCCCAATTAATGTTAAGTATTTACAATATAAGAAAACAATAAACAAATGAAATACGAAGTATAGAAGCAACAAACTAGCACCATGTAACTGCAAAGAAAGCATAAAAATGAACATGATATTTAAGCTGATGCATTACATGTGCAGAAAGACGTGGCTAATACCTTCAGAAACGTCAACAAACGTTTCTCCCTGGCAGTAAGTACTGCTAAAATATACGATTGCCTACTGCGGGTCTTTATCTTACCGCTTTTTGTTGGTCTTTGAAAGAGGCCCAAAGCTGCTCCAGTTCTGGTGGGACCGGAGAGCCCGACAGCTCCAGAGCTTTAATGATATCGCCAGCATAGCGAACCTGATCCTCCGTGATGAACGTGTAGGCGTATCCCTGAGAAGCAAATGTGTACAGATTTAAACATGATAACCACCAAAAACAAAACACCCCAAATGTCAACACAAATTTCCTAGTTTTTGATGTCTAAAATTAAATGAGCTCCCTTTAAAGGGGCTGACCTTGTTGCCTGCTCTGCCCGTGCGCCCGGCCCTGTGAACGTAGTCCTCGTAGTGGTTGGGACAGTTGTAGTTGACCACCAGGATCAGCTGCTTCACATCAAGGCCCCTGGCTGCCACAGAGGTGGCGACCATCAGACGACACGCGCCATTCTTAAAATCGTTGATGATGCTGTCTCTGTCGTACTGATCGATTCCTTGGAGACAC